AAGACTCATCACTGCGCCTCAGAGCTGCGTTTGCGGACGAACAAAGGGCGGAGGCGCGCTCATCGCGAGCAGCAGCTCCCCTGTGGCTGGTCGGCACAAGGCGCATCGAAAGGATATCATAGTGAGCTATTGCCAGGCTTGAGTGCGACCCGAGCTGCCTCAGCTTCGCTGTACCGGCCAGTCACACGGCAGCGCCAAAGGAGGGCTCGGGTGCCAGGCCCGCGTCGCGGCCTTTCAGCACGGTGGGACCGTATGCAACAAATTCCACAACTTCTGCGACGCCGGAACACAGTGGTAGCGCAGCTTGGGACGATGGCCGAGACACGCCCATCACACGCCCCTGGTCTAATCTTCGCGGTGGTTTCACAATGGCGCATTCTCAGGTCTCAAAGGCGGCTACTGTCTTGACTCGAGGCGTAGCATGAGGGTGACTCGAGTGGCCCTCGTGCTGGCGGCCTGCCTGGCGCTAGGGCCTGTGCACGCATCACAGGGGTGCGTGGCATCATCCTGGCAGCACGGAACTCTGCATGGTTTTGAAGGATTGATTGGCTGCTGACAGTAGTTGTAAGGGTAATGATTGATGTGCAGCAGCAAAGCCTGAGCACCCAACTGCTCGCCCAGGCGCTGCATCTGTTCGCGCTCGCCTGTCGGCACTGCCGCTGTGGGCGCAGGACACCTGGCGCCCGCGGCCCCGCTTTGCCAGCCGCCCCGCCCTGCGCGCCCCTTTGCTGCCCATCCAACCCATGACTTGCTGCCCTGCACTCCGCAGGCTTGATCCCTGGGAGTTCATCGAGCTCGAGCCTGTTGCCCACAGCAGGTCGCTCCTGCAGTCCGGGGGCAGCGCAGCCGGCGGTTATGGCGGGTACGGCTACGGCTACGGCTCGTACGGCGGCTATGGCGGCGCCGTCGGCCACCGCCGCTTGATCGAGGCCGGCGGGTACGGCGGCAGTTACGGGTACGGCAAAAGCGGATATGGGAGTGGCGGGTACGGCAGTGGCGGGTATGGCGGGCCCGCAGCCAGGCTGCTGATGGAGGGATTTGGCACGGAGGAGGAGCAGCAGGAGCAGGAGCGGCTGGAGTCGGCCGCCGCGGCTGCCGCGCGCCGTGCGCAGCTGCAGCGGGAAGCCGCAGCCGTCGACGCCGGCGACGCGGACGGCGCTGACGCACCCACCGCGGCGATAGCGATGGCAATGCGCGGCGCGCGCGCCGCCGCGGCGGCGAGCAGCCTGCTGTCTGTGCCGGCGGGGCAGTGCTACTGCCGCTACGACCCTGATTACAACACTTGGGCCGTGGGCGAGGACGCGTGCAAGGCGGCGCTGTACACAAAGTGCCGGGCCGGGCAGCTGCCCTGTGGCTGGCTGGACGCGTACTACGGGCACGTTGCTGGCAGCGCCATGGCGCACACCCTGCCGCACGAGCAAGACATCCTCGGCTTTGTGTTCGACGACTGCCAGCCACGCCCGCCCTGCGCCTGCGCTGGCGTCAAGTTTGATGGCAGTGACTCTGGTGGGTGTCTGGGGGGGCTGCTTTGCTGTGCTTTTGGCTCCCTTGTGTGCCTCTGCCACGCACTCCAGCCCCAGCATGTGTTGTGCTGGTGCACGGCAGTCACTGTCCGCGTCTGCAACTCAAGAGCAATGCTGCGGCCGCATCACAACACCCCATGCTGCTGCCCGGCGCTCACACAACCTGTCCTGCCAACTGCCTGCACCCTGCGCAGTGACCACGGCTTTCGCCTGCTGCCGCGACCTGCGTGCCGCATGCCGCACGCCCTTCAACGGCGTGGCCTGCGCTGATGTGGACGCGTTCTGCAAGGACGATGTGTCAAGCGCCAAGCTGCTGCACTGGGCGCAGCACAAGCTGCACCGCGCGGCAGAGTGCGCCGCTTACTCTGGGACGCCCTATGACTTCCGCCCCCTGTCGGCTATCATGGCGGCCAATCAGAGGGATGAAGGCTCCGTCACCGCCGTTGAGGACACCGCAGCCCTCATCAAGGCCGCCGTCGGGGCTACAGAGCCCGCCACCGCAGCGGCTCCCGCGGCGCGGGCGTTCGCATCCAACCGTGTGGCCGCTGCCGTCATCGGCGTCGGCGGCATGCTGGTCGGCATCGCGCTCGTGGGCATGGCAATGACGCTGCGCACCGGCACCGGCGCCGGCCACGGGGCCGGCGCTGACGACGCGATCGAGGGTGGTGCTGCTGGCGTCGCCGAGCCGCTGCTGTACCCGGTGCCCGAGGTTGCCAATCGGGAGGACGAGGTCAATGCCCTGCGTCACGTGATCAGCTCCAACTACCTCCTCGCGTCTGCGCCACCGACCCCAAGAACAGGCGGCGCCTCGCCTGGCAGCTTCCAGGAGCACTGAGCGTTGCGGGCATGTCTGCACAAACACCGCAGCCATGCTGTGAGTGAAGCAGCAGGTGGCTCTGCTTAAGAGGCCGCAGGATCCCCTGGTGAAGCGGCTCGTCGGGCGCTCGGCGCGAGCGAGTGCCTGCGAAGCCATGAACCGCCGCGGCCTGAGCCAGCGTCTGGCCAGGCCTGCCAATTTCGGGGGCTGCGACTGCCGCTGTGTAGCAGGGGATAGGTGGCGTGCCGGCAAACTTTGGCCTGCATCGGACATCTGTTGGCTCCAAGGTTGCTGCTTAGTGGCGCTCAGACTTCCCCAGCCCGCACGGGGCGCACATGTACGCGCGTGCAAGCACCCGCGTGAGACCGCTTTCGGCTTTCAGTCGCGAAGCGAGCAAAAAACACTGTCTCTTCCGATCTTTTGTTGTTTGCCGGCGCGGGCCCCTCACCCACTTCGACGGTGTGATGAGGGCTGGCGGCACTCCGCAGTGCGCGGCGCGGGCGCGGGTTTGGAAGGCTCGAAGGCTCGAATGGGCGTTCAATGCTTGGGCGGGACGGATTTCGGAACATGCAACATGGGGCTCCACTCCCTGCTGTCCCTCAACCGAACAACAAGCATCTCTACTGCCCTGAGGCTTGCAAGAGGCAGCAACGGCGGCATCTGTGCGCCGCCGGGGCAGAGCCCTCTTTGACTCAATTTGAGCGTGACAAACGGTGGCCTAGCACCCGCGCTGCGCGGCTGTGTGTGCATCGGCATGCCGCCTTCTGGATCATGCACCCCCGGTTGCGGCCTGGGGGTGTGTGTCGCAGCGCATGTGGTGGCCTGGGCGGCACTGTGCGCTACTCATGTGCAGCACTTCATGGGCTGGCGCACCGCAAGCTCTGTGGAATGCGCATACATGACGTGAAACAGGCGCGCGGTGGGCCAGCCCCCGTCCCTTTGCCCCCCCCCCTCAACTTTGCCGAGGTGATGTGAGCACTTGGCTGGTGGAGCCCTGCAGCATGACCCCCCTCGGCCTGTGCTGCAGGGGGCCGGCGGCGTCGGGGGCCTGCCAGCCTGATGGCGGCGGCAGTGCCCACGCTTTGCGTTGCCGGATTGCTGTGAGCATCCCCCTAGCACTTGACACTTCATTTGGGACGGTAGCTTCTGCTGCGCCCACGGTCTAGCGCCTCAATTGCGTGCGGGGGATGGCGCAGGGCAGGCGCTGGCTACGATCGCTCGCTGCTGCCCTATTATGTGGACAGGGCAGCTGTCTGTGTTAGCTGCCACCCTCTGCTGGCCGGACGGTGTCGGGCTCCTTGCCTTTTGGAGTCCAGCACCAACCCGGGCCGCCCCCAATAGTCTAGTAGGCCGACGCGTTGAATGCCTGGCTACTTTGTGTAACGTGGTGTGTTTGACTGATCTGACCCACTCACAGCCTGGGTTCCTTGTTGGTGGGCCCAGTCGCACCAACTGGCTTTGCAACATGATGAAGCCCAGGCTCCCCCGCCAGTCGCCCACACTTCCCGAGCAACCTTCCCCAACCTCCAGGAAGGCAGGGGCGCAGTGGGCGCGACCACCGCGTGGGTGCTCATCCGCATCGCAACGACAAGAGTGCTGCTGGGCTGTGCAGGCAGTCACGCGCCCGTTTGCTGGTCAGCAGAACATTAGACGCCCCAAAGGTCAGTTGGGCATGCAGTGCGGCCAGCAGGTGCGAAGGCCACTGTGGCCACGCTGCTCTACTGCCTGTGTCGGTTGCCACTTGATGAGTAACCCTCACACTGCAGCTGACGGGTTTGGCAGTTTCGAGAGCAGGGACGCACAGCCCAAGCTGCTGGGGGTGACTCCACCATCAGAAATTCTGTTTGAGCCCTTGACTGCTGCAGAACGGGCGCTCAATTCTGGCTCCTGCACACGCGCACGCCAGTGACTTGCTGTGCAGTGGTAGATCTCGTGGAGGGAAAGAAGGGAGGGGTGTGCCGGTGCTCCGTGCGCGTGAGTTTTGAGGAATTGTTTTCACATTGAGCCTTGCACTTGATGACACAATCCCTAGTGCACAACCCAGGCCAGCAGACTGTGCTGAACTGCTGATGTGGGCGCAGCACTTTTTGCGTGCCACTCTCTGCTGATGGTGTTTATCAAACATCATATGAGCTAAAACTCCTTGACCATTCGTCAGTCAGGGCCTCCAGCGGCGCCTGTGTTCCCCGCTGCGAGCGGTTGCAACGAAGGACGTCAAGATTAAAAAAGGCTCTGCGCACGCACTTGCCGCACGTTTTATCTGACAAAAAGATCAGTACGTGCAAGAAGTGTCATAAAAATGGCGAACCTCAAGAAGGAGGCTGTGGATGCACGGCTGCTGCTCCACATCGAGGCTGGCGAGGACACCACCGACGGCAGGCCCTCGTTCGATGAGTCAATCCAGAACAAGCACCTCGCTAGCGTGCTGCTCGCTACGCCAGTTCCGGCTCCGCAGCAGCAGGGGCTGCGAGGCCTGTACGACCGCCCGAGTGAAGATGGGGAGGGCGCCGACGAGACGTTTTTCCGGGCCTTCCAGCTGAACTCCGACCTCTTTGGCAGCGGCCAGGTGTTCAACATGTTCCAGTCATACCTGGTGTGGGCTCCCAGTGTCGTTCTGCTACTACTGCTGCTGTCAATTGGGAGCCCAGTCGCGACTGGCGCGTGGGCGTGTGCCGACCCGGCAGATGAGGGCTGCCAGGCGGCGCTGGCCGGGGCGGACGGGACGGGCGCTGGGCTGTGTGGCCTGCAGCGCCACCAGTGGCAGTGGGCGCAGCCCAGCACGTCGCTCGTGACCAAGTTTGACCTCGTTTGCGACGGTGGGTAGTGACCCTGGCGGCAGGCGTGGTTGGGCTGAGCCCGGACGACCAGCTGCCCTTGGTGCCTGCTGAGCGGTGGGCTGGCTGTTGAAAGGGGTTGAGAAGTATGCAGCTAAGGTCTTTGCCAAGCTGCAACTTCTATTGCACAAGGAGATTGTAGGGGCCACGCCCGTTTAAAGGCTGCTGAAGCCCGGTGGCAACTCGTTTGATTGTACACACTCCCACCGACCCATTTGATTGCCCACTTGCCTGCCTTCTCCTAACCCCATATCCGCCCTCACATACACAAAAATCTACATAATCAAGACGCCTGGATGGCCAACGCAGCTTACGCGGGAATGCTGGGTGCTTACCTTGGCGCCAGCTATGCGGTCGGCGCGCTCGGCAAGCGCGTCCTGTCCTCCAGCTGAACGCGAAAAGCAGCCGTGGGCTGGCCTATTCACACAAGCCACATCGGGCCGTCCGAAGATGTTGCATTGCAGTGGGGCCAGTGTCCTGAACATTGCAAATTTGAGGCGGCTGGGAATCCAAAAAGCACAACGCTGGCACTTGTGGTGCCTGCAGCACCTGTCAGGGAGCATCTCCCTGCCCCGCCTTGAATCAGGGCATCGGAGCCTTTGCTGGGCACAGGACGCGCAGGATTGATTTGTTGTGACATCCAGCGGCGTGAACTGCAATACCTGGTTGTGCAAACAAGGTTTCATGCACGGGCTGCCACCACTGATACCCTACTATTGATAAGTGCTGCCTGTGCTGACTCCTGCTGTTGTGTACAAGAATTTTCAGCCCCCTCCAATTTGACCTAGCAGGTACTGCTGCGGTTGCGTCGGTGCTGTGATGCCGCCCAGATAGGCCCAAGCCCAGCTCAACCTGTCTTGATGCGTGAGGCTTCCTTGGCGTGCTTGCATAATCACAAAACTTGCTTTGACTCAAAGTACAGTATTCATTCCCACTTGTGTGCAAAGCAAGCAAACCTCTTTGGAGGTTGTGTAATTGAAGTGATGCAGCGCTTGATGACAGTAGGAAAAATCTACAACTGCAGCAGTCACTGTGCTGCCGTCCTTCCCTGACAAGCAGTTTCCTGCATAAGTGCACACATGCCATGCCGGCTGTGCTGGTCATAATCACCAATCAAACAGGCAGCCGCCTGGGGCCATCGACCAGCTGCATGATCACGGTCAGCTCGCCGCGATGGGCCGAGGCGCTCTGCCCATCACAGACTCCTGCTGCGCGGTGCAGGCCAAGACCAGGGTAGCTTGAGCGCCCGCTTACCACCTCCGCTGCTTCACGCCCTTTACCGCGCTCACACGTGCGCGTGCGGCCGCCAGCTTGCACTCATTCCTTCTTTGCGGTCACCACCCAGTGGTCAACAGGCGGCTTGGCCTGCCCGCAGAAGCCGTCGGGGTGGGGCCGCTCGCTCTCTTTCATGCCGTCGAAGCCGTCAGGGTGAACAGCCGTCTGTGAGCAGCTCAGGCGAGCGGTCGAGGAGAAGGCATGGCAGGGCGAACAGCGCGTCGTCGTCGAGGAGGCGTCAGTTGCCGGCCTCGCAGCACAGTCTGAGCGGGACGTCCAGCAGGCTGCTGGACGGGTAGCTGCACAATCAGCCCAGATAAACATGTTGCTGTGCTCTCATGTCACCCCATTGCACCTGAGTACCCCCCATCCCATCTGGATGCGACAGCGGAAGGCCCCCTGGCGGCGCCCAGTGATCCACTGGCTTGCCGGCCCAATGATCGACGGGCTTCTGCTGCGACATGACTATAATGACGAGGTGATCACTGCCGATGTATATCAAGGGACATGTCTGGGGCTGCTTTGCTCGGTATCGGTGAAAAACGACAAAATCTATGCACAAAGCGAATGTGTAGAAAACTGTTGCAGCATTGAGAAGTGCTACAAGAGGGCTACAACGGGAACTTGTAACTCTTTCAACGCAATGGCACAGGGCGGCGGCACTGCGAGGTCGCCGGCGACGCGACGAGTTCGTCGATGATGCTGCGGCCCCAGCCCCTCACATGATCACAACGCACAACCCACTCCCTTGCCGCCGCCGGTGTCGCGTCGCCTCCTGGAGCAAGCTTCATGCTCTGCACATATCCGGACGCAGATGCGCAATCACAACCCGATACGTGTGTGCAGTAAGCTCACCTTTCCACCGGCTGTCCATCGTGCTGCACGTGTACTGCAAGTGAAGTTACACCTGAATACCACGCGGCACTAGTGCTGCTTGGTTGCAAGTGAACCGCAGTGCGAGGGTGCTGTGTGGGCACCGTGTCAGGTGGTGTTGTTCGCAATACGGCAGCAGCGAGGCAGTTGGCAGTTGTGCTGTCCCTCTGCACGGCCGCTTGCACCCTGCAAGCGGGCAGGAGCGCTCATCACCTGACAAAGCCGAGCGCTGACTACGCCAGGCATTGTGCCTAGATTTTGCAATCAGAGGCGCTAGTATAGCATGCACAAACACAAGGGAAAGGGTGGTGCGCTCCCACAGGGTAGTATGTCAACTGCACCTCTAGCTCGGTGATTGTGGGGTGACCAATGTACCAATCTGGTTGGCATGTGGCGAGGGGGGGAGGAGGGGAGGGGGGCTGATTTGACAGAGAGGCCCACAGACAGAAAAATGCCAATCGCAACCCTGTATCGTGAACTATGACTTGTGGCGATGACAGATGAAACAACTGAAAAGTCGCGGCGCAAGTTGCGACACGCGTTATCCTGGGCTGCGGCAGCTGCCGGGAAGCTGGGAGCTGTGGCGGCCGTGCACAGTACACATGCTGCATGCTCTCACCCATGCGTCACGCCGAGGAACCCACATTGGCAACGTGGATGCTCACGGCCACTGCTGGTAATTGATGACCTTTGACTGGTTGACTTCAGCTGCGGCTGGAATCCAGCGAGTCTATATGGGCAGCGCACCACCATTTGAGACAAACGCTACGCAACGCTTGAAGTGTGTGGTCATCGGGGACGGCCGCCCCTTGGATTCAGGCCACCACCATGCCAGGCATGTTGGCTACGGGCTCCTGCAGCTGCGGGCGTGCTTGTCACGCTACTAGGTGCATCGACCCGGACGTGACCATGTCAGCTGCACACACACCGGCTCTGGACACATCGCCTGAGCCTCTGAAGCCGCTCATGCGGGCCGATGTTTCATTCTTAGCTGCGCGACTTACTTGTCACACCTTCGACAGTTTTACAGGCCGACTGGCGTAATCTGGGCGGTTTCATCTCTGGCACGCAAGCACGCAGCTCCTGGCTGACTCTCAGGTTTACAGGTGTACCGTATGGCATTATACGACAAACATAATCTGTGTTGACCAGTTTTGTATCGTCATGGCGGGCCCTGGCAGCGAGGCCTCGTCCAGAGCCCTCCTCGCACTGTCACAGCCCTGCGACAGCCCCCGTGCAGCAGCGAGCTATATACACGATGCAAACGGGAATCGTAGTGAGTTCATGACCTGCAGCGGCTCGAGCGAGAAGCCTGCAGTGGCGGCGGCGCATAGCAGCAGCTTCGGCACAAACACCGCTGCAGGAGGCAGCGGCGGCCTCACATTTGACCAGGCGCTCACGCAGTACGTCGGAGAGTTTGGACGCGGCCAAATTTTGAATTTCGTCCTGGCCAGTCTCATCTGGGTGCCGAACGCGGTGCTCATTCTATTGCTGGTCTTCTCCGTGGGAAGCCCAATCAAGGAGCGGCTGTGGGAGTGCTCAGACCCGCGTGACGCTGCCTGCCAGGCGGTGCTGGCCAGCCCCGACCCAGCGGTCGGTTTCTGCAGCCTGCAGCGATCCCAGTGGCGGTGGACGCAACCAAGCACAGGGCTGATCTCACAGTTCGACCTCGTGTGCGCTGGTAAGTGGGGGCAAAGCGCTTCAGGAGACCACGGTTTTCGGCTGTCGGCAGATGTGCGGAGCATTCAAGGTCACAGTGTTGTGCTCTCTCCTTAATAATTTGCTCTGCGGCTGTCGTCCCTCCTCGCAGACGCCTGGAAATCCCAAACAGCCAACGCCTTCTTTTTTTTTGGCTACCTGATTGGGTCGGGCGTCTTTGGTCAGGTGCGGCCGCCGTTACTTGCACTGACTGTGCTACTTTTCTTATTAGGCTCGCTTATCTTGCCTCGCAAACCTTGTCATCCACCTGTTAATACCCATGGCACCCAAGCAAGCACGTGTTTTGAAGTTTAATATTCGTTTTGGCAACATCAAGCCCAGCTCTCACTTCCCTCCGCCGCCCGCCCAGCTGTCTGATGTCATTGGCCGCAAGTACTCCACATTTGCAGCCGCCGTGATCAGCGCCGTGTTTGCAGCCGCCGGCCTGGGCTGCACAAACTACTGGTCCTGGGTGGTGATGCGCCTGCTGTCAGGCGTCGGCGCCGCGGGCACCGCGCTGGGTGCCTACATCCTGTCAACAGAGGCCATCGGCGACGGCTGGCGAGGTGCGCGCGTGGTTTGAAGCGGGTAGCGGGCGCAGGTCTCTGGTCCTCAAGCAGGGGATCCGCGCGGATTAGTGAACTCTTTCAGTGCTGCTTCTCTGTGTGATAGCCATGCCGATATAGGCCAATGCAGCAGCTGCCCCAAACAACCCTGCGCCAAACAACCCCGTGCACGCCCACCCCATACATACATTCGTTGGTGACACCTCCCCTCGCACACCCCAGGCTGCATGGGCATCGCCACTCAAATATTTTTCATTGTCGGGGAATTCACTCTTGTTGCTATCGCGGCCATTTTCAAGACATGGAGGGGCCAGGCGGCGGCATGCGCAGTGCTCAATGCGACGGTGCTGCTGCTGTGGCCGGCACTGCCCGAGTCTGGGCGCTGGCTGCAGGTGCAGGGGCGCAAGGACGAGGCCATGAAGGTGCGGGGTGGACTCTTGCAGGCATAGCAAGAAGCAATAATTGGCAAAGTGGGTGCAGCTTGGGGCCAAGAGCTCCAAACTACATCTTGTGGATCAATGCGCAGCGAGGATTGTACGGTTGTGCAGCCTGTGTGGCATTTTACCGCAAGCTTCTTGTGGCACAGGCTAATTAAAATGCCAAACGCGTGCAGTGCAGACCGCGTTTCGGCCCTGCCACGCGACGTGCGCGGCGTCTCGCAGGTGCTGGAGCGCTTTGCGCGCCTCAACGGCACCCAGCCACCATCGCAGCCGCTCGCCGACATCAAACAGGGCCCTGCGGGCGCCGCCGGGGCCCCTGTGCAGCGGCTGACACTGGGCGCGGCCCTGCGCGACTGGCACATCCTGCGGCGATTTGTGGTGCTGTCTTACTCGTGGATGGTCATCTGCATGACCTATTACGTGAGCACACAGCATCTTCGACCATGTCGTGAGGCAGCAATTTGTATGTTCTACCCCGGCCTGCGCCCAAAAGCAAAGGGCCGCAGTAGCCATGGCTGCAGGCTGGGCCCTATGTGGGCTGCTCTTCGACGCATCCCTCTCCCAGTGCTAGCAATTCTGCCAGCATCCTTGGTCTCCCATCCCACTGTGCTGCCCATCCACACATCCATGGCACACCAGGGCATCTCTTTTGCACTGGGCAGCCTGGGAGGCAGCCTGGTGGTTTCATTCATGGTGTCATCCATCGCAGAGCTTCCCTCTTACCTCTTTACGGGCTGGGCCATTGATCACTGGGGCCGGCACAACACCATGGCAGGGTGCGTGGGCGGGGCGGGGCGCTGGCAGCCGGGGCGGGGAGGCCGAGACGAGCGCTGAAAGTGCTGCCTCGTCAACTCGTATGAGTTGGCCTGGCCCAACAACCTTCAAGCAAATATGATGTCATGTAGGACGCACTCCACACCCCACGCCTTGACATTGCCACAGGTGCGTCCTGCTGGGCGGCGCGGCGTGCACCGCGTGTGCGTTCGTGCCCGGCAGCGGCCAGGTGGCCTTGGCGTCAATTGGCAAGTTTGGCATCGCAGGAGCCTTTGCCGTTGCCAGCATCTACACAAGCGAGCTTTTCCCAACCCTGATACGCTCTGGTGTGTGGTGCAAGCAGCACCAGGAACCAGACCGTTTGCCTGATCGCTGGCTGTCAGGTGCATGCCGCGAATGCCGATATGCCACCGGCCGCGCGATGCATGCCACCACCCCACTGTCAACTTCGGTTGCCTGACCCTGCTGCATGCCCCCCGAACCCCACGTCCGCCCCACAGGCGTCCTTGGCGCCTCAAACCAGGCCGCCCGCGTCGGAGGCATCGTCGCGCCCTTCATTGCCCTCGCCGGCACAACGCACAACTCGAGCCTCATCCCCTTCCTCACCTTTGGCATCGCCGCGCTGCTGTCTGGAATCCTGATCTTCACGCTTCCCGAGACTCTGGGCGTCCCACTTCCTGATACCATGCAAGACATGGACAACATTGCGAGCATCTTCACGCACCACACGTACGCCAAGAAGGGCCTCAAGGCCGCAGCGGCAAGCATGTTCAAGCCGCGGGTGCAGCTGCCCAAGCAGCAGCCGCGCAGCAGCTGGCTGCGCGCCGGAGGAAGGGGCGGTGCTGACGGCAGCGACGGCGGTGGCGGCGGCGAGGCGGGCGGGGCTGCTGCAGCGGTGCATGGTGGTGGCGTGAAGAAGGGCAAGCAGGAGCAGACTAGCGTGTGGGCAGAGGACGAGGTGGGCGCCGTGCCCGAGGAGGAGGGCAGCAGCCTCATCGGGGTGCACCGGCCACCGCCGCGCCGCAGCGACGGTTGCGGCGGGGGAGGCGCCGACGCTGGCAGCGCTAGGGTATAATCGCGAACACAAGACCATGCTGATCGGCGGGCACGCGCATGACTTCGGATTTCCCCAGGGACATTTTGGGCGAGACAGAGGGCTGGCAGCGTGCGCACTGCCAGTTCTGTGTGCAGGGAAAATGCTGGGCTGCCCCAAATCAACAACCTCCTGAGCTTGGTTGGTGCTGCAGCAGCCGTGAAATTGACAAGCAGAGCGCTGACAGCGGCTGCGTGTGCAGGTGCATGGTGAGGAGCTGCTCCAGGAGATGTTGGGCACATGCATTGGTCCCTGCCTGCATGGCTGCCGTGGGTCCTCACACCACTTTGTACGCTATTGCTAAGCATATCATCAACATTTTTATTCCTGCGTGGGGGAAAGCGTGGGACAGCAGGCCAACGCCAGACATTCGCACGCCGAGGCTAGGCTGCTTTGCTTCCTGAGGACTTCTAGCCTTGCCATCTGTGCCGGTTGGGCAGGCCAACATTACCAGCACAGACAGCGCTCATGCGGCTCTATAGACCCGCACGTGCGCATCTTGCATCGGCGCTGCAAGCCAAGCGCGCTTGTTTTACGCTACACATCTTGCAGTCGTTCCAACACGCTTGTTTGTTACGCTTCACGATGGCGAGCCCCCACAGCGGAACACGCTCACAGGCGCTGTTGACCAAATTCACACTTGCTGGCCACCTCTGACATCACCCGTTGGTTGACCTTGCGATTAGGGTTTGAGTAGGGTTGACCTAACGATCCAAGAAAGCAGCAAAAAAATCGCCTCGTTACACCCCAAGATCGACCAGTGATACCAGCCAGCAGATGACGTACTGCTGGAAGTGGTGCACACAAACCATCTTGACTAGCAGACAACATCAGCACCACGTGTGGATTGCCTGACGGATTTGGTTGGTGCAAGCGCCTCGCCAGCCTGCTGCAGGCCGCATGATAGCCATTCACTTGAGCTCCCCACAAGACGGCGTGCCACACCAGGGAGCTGCCCTTATGGATGATTGTCTGGAGGTAGGGCAAGCAGCAGTTCGTGTGCGTCACGAACAGCTCAAATATAATACAAAAAACACTGCTTGGCCAACTCGCAAGTGGCCTTGCAGCCATGAGACTCAACTTGGAATGTCCAGCTGCGTGGTGTCACCAGGACCCGCAAACTGCCAGCTGGCACGCGTAAGAGCAACGCTGCAACATGCAGATCGAAACATACAGAAAGGATTGGTGGAGCAGTGCAGGCGCTCATAAATATGAAATTGACAACAGGCCCATATTGGTCACACACCTGGATGAATGTTCACAGCAGTGCCAGCAGATCAGACCCAATAAGGTGCGTCGCGTAGTCATGGCCACCGCCACTGCTGCTGCCGCCGCCGCCGCCACCACCGCTGCTGCCCTGGACCGCTGGCCTGGTCAGTGTCATCAGGGGAAGTGTGATTGCAGCGCTGGAGCCCGCCGTGCTTGAGCGGCGGACGCCGCCGATGCTGGGCAAGCCGGACCAGCCGCACGGCGTCCCAGACGACGCAACCGAGCGGGCACATGTACTGGCTTCGGCACTGGCGAGCGCGGCGCTGCAGGCGCTGCTGGCGCCGCTCGTGCTGTGACACTGCGGTTGTGGCCATGGGCTGCTCATGGCGCCATCTAAATTTGCATCTGCTGGCTGCAGGACTGAGCCGTCAGCACGGAAGTGTGTGCTCCTTGCGGCGCCCTTGACGTCCACCTCCTCTGCAGCTGTCGCCTTCCCCTCCACCTTCACATCGTCCAGCCCAAACACGCCTCGGGCTGTCACTAGGGCGCGCACCTCCCCACCGCCGATGTTGGCGCACACGCCGATCTCCCCCGCGTGCGGGTGCGTGGCGAGCACTGCGTGCGCAGCTGCCGCGAAGCTGTTCAGCAGCAGCCGCTGGGCCTGGTCCATCACAACCCCCAAAACGCTGACCTGCACCGCCACGTACGTGTGGCGCTGCGGATGAATAATGACACAGGATGGGGGGGCTTCTGGTTGGAAAAAGCGGGGGAACCAGCGAGACACATGCGCCGACAGGGCTTTTCAGGCACCACGTCCCTAGGGGATCTGGACGTTTCAACGCTACTGGCGCTTGCACGCGACTTTTGATTGCTGAACCTAGGGTCCGTGGCGCAAGGGATGCCGAAAAAGTCCAGGGTTCTAGTAGCAAGTCCCGCCTGCCAGCATAGCGTCCAAGGGAGGGCACCAACCTCGTCAGCATCGACCAACTGGTGGTTGACCCGCAGGTGGTACCCAGATCGCCCCAGCATTGAGCGTATCGCATCCAGCTTGCGACCACGGACGCCGACAAAGTTGCCGCAGACCTGAGCGCGTGCAGAGAGAGAGGGAACGTGTGGGCGGCTGCGTCGCTGCTGTGCGAGCTAGCTGCAGGAGCAGGAGGGGTCGAGGAAGGGGTAGAGAGCTAGTGGAGCAGGGGCGGGCTCCAGGCAGGTGTGTGCAGTACCCTGGCCAGCAGGAGTTGTTACGAAGAGGCACGTACCAGCTCATACAGCTTGATGCGCTTTCCCTCGTGATGAAGCTGTGCAGAGGGGTACCTGCACGTGCGATGGCGCGTGTGCATGAGGAATGGGTGAGGCGTCGGCGAAGCGTCACCAGCGCTCGGCGGACGTCATGGGCACCCACATGTCAGTGGACCCCGCCATCTGACAAGCCGAACCTGATTGAGATCACCCTCCACTCCTCCTCAAATGGGCTCAGCGTGGTGGGGCTGTTGCTGCTGCTGCCGTCAGCCCCCTGGTGTGGTGTGTGCTGTGGGGCGCACGAGGCGGACTCCTGTGCCAACAGCTCCTGCGTTTGGCTAGAGCGCGCCTGGATGATCATGATTCTGGGCCTATCAGGGCTTATCTACGAGCGGTGCAGCCGCAGACATGCATTGATAGCCCTGCCGGCAGCGTGCGAGTGCAGGGTGGGAGGACACTGACGCGCTCGTGTCGAGGCGACAGTCAAGAACGCCGTTCCTAGGCCTAAACGATTCAGTGTCGGACGATAGAACGCGAATGAGACGAGAAGCTTACTTCTTCAAGCAACCTGCAGGTGGCTTCCCCTGCCGCGCCTCGGGGAATTCGAACAAGCTCCAGACACGTACGCACCATGATGAAGCGCTTTGAGCAGCCACTTACGAGCCACATTGTGCTTACTCAGAGCCGTAACGAGGCTCTACAGGCGACAGAGGGTTAGAACAGGTAGATAACCTGCGCCTGACCTGACCTGCCTGCGGCGGCCCCCAGGTGGTGGAGAGCATCATGAGGACCTCAGGGGTGGTTTTGTGCCTAGTATTCCTGGTGCTGGTTGTCGGAGGTCGTGCTCAGGTGGGTGTAGTGGCCTCAGGTCCAACGTCGAGGCAGTGACCGCAGCCCTCAGCAGACGGTAATAGGAAGCAGCTGCCTCGAAATGTGCTGCTGCATGCCTGCCCTGTGCTGACAGGGAACTCGAGGCGAAAATAACACCCATTGAAAAGTTGAATCACCATTAAACTCTCTACATGTAATCCATTGTGCTTGCTTCCCGCGTTCTTGCAAACTGTTCGCGGCACCCCGACCTCTGCCGCATTGTCATGCTGCACGCCAGCAGGACAAGGCCTGCGCCCTGCTACCCTCAGACTTTGCGCAAGTCGATTGGACCGCAATCAAGGCTGCATGCGGGCCCCAGAATGCCACGTCCTTCTGCCAGTCGTGTATCTGCGGCATCGGGCGGGGCTTGGTCACCGGTCTATACTGTGAGCTAGGCCCTCGCGGCACATGCATGACAGCAATGGTACATACAGCTCTGATCACAGCAGCGTCTTCCATGCGCTGGACAGCATACAGCGCACAACTTTGCTCAGTTTGGATCCACCCCTCTGTGCATGCGTGCTGCGTATGCTTGTCCATGCCATTGCAAATCGCCGACATAATCCTGCCAACTCAATTCGTAGTTGCGGGCGTGAATCTGGATGCAAGCCAAGCCACGCTGGACAGTCTGCTGGGCACGTGCACATCAACGGTGCGAGGGTGTGCTGCCATTTTAGTGGCCATCCTGATTGTCTCATCGCCCACTTTCAACCCGCATTGCGCCAGCACCTGAAGCTTGCTGCTGGTTTGTTGCGGCCAATCAACCCCCCATCAGCGTGGGCTGCCTGTGAAGAACCTGAGAACCACCGCGTGTCTGCAAAACGCAGGTTGGAAGCCAGCTGGTGGATAATGGAGGCTTCTCTGCCCAGTCCCTCGCGGCGCTCGCACAGTGCGACGTAAGTGGTGTTTGCACAGGCAATCCTTGTGTCGCGGCAGCCGGGGCTATTCGCCCTGCTGGGCGGCCGCGCCACGCCAAGCAGCAGCCCCAGATGATGCTGCCGCCATGCTTGCGTTGCTGATCAGGCGTGTCGCGCCGGTACACAGGCAAGGCGTCCCACTTTTCGCTTGCCAAATCCCTCCCCGCACCCCTTGGACCTAACCAACACAGGTGGAGGGCATCGCCTCAGACTGCGCCAAGACGCTGATATCTGAGCAGGGCAACCGCTCCACCGTGGCCGCTGCTGCCAGCAACTCTACAGCCTCCGCAACCGGGCCGTCCAAGAGCTCTGCAAGCAGGCGAGTTGTTTGGGGAGCAGCTTCCGCCGTGCTGCTGGCCGCCCTGCTGGCGCTTCTCTGGTAGAGGGTGACAAACAAGCTGGTGTAATCGGCGTGACGCAATCACAGCGTGCCTATGCGTTTGGAATTCTCTGCTGCTAGCCGTCAGCGGGTGGATGCAGGCCGGGCCATGCGCCAGCGTCCAGCAGCGCGCAGGAAAAGCAGAAGAGAAGCAACAACAATCCACTTGTCAGCGCTCGAACCAAAGGCGCATAAGGCTCTCGGCCCTGGTTGTCTGGCGTGCATCTACGCAATTCGACTTTGACAACCTTGAGTTGATTGAATCACCGCTTAGTACAAACCAGTCTGCACTCAGATCAATCTGCACCTCGAAAGCAGAGGCCATGGCGTGATCGATCGCATGGTCTGCTATTCCATCCTCATGTGTCGAATCTGGGTCTGGTTGCTGGCCGCGGTGGTGCTGTGCTCCGCTGTCGCGGGCTCGGAGCAGCTCGCCGTGCAGGCCCCGCTGTGCCAGCGGCTTCATGATACGGGGTTGACTTATCACTCCGTCTACGCGTGCCTTGGTGTTCCGAAGTGGGCCCTCCTGCCTGCGCTATGGACGCCTTTGTCGCTCCAGGTCAACTGCACCGCCCCGACGGTGAGCAGGAGTCGTTCGCGAGCCTGGCAAACTGGGGACACCATGTCACACAAAGCGCCGCCCCCTCACAAGCCACCGCTCTCACACCCCGCCCGCAGTATGAGATTTTCACGGCCGCCACCTGGGGCGAGCTGCACGATGCGCCGCAGGCGGTGCGATGGTGCGGGTTTGCGCACTTTGCGCAGCCGGAGGTCTGCTCGTTCAGCCTGTCACCGTTTGAGGACGCATACGTCGGGATCAAGACGAGGCGCAACAGCCTCCTCAGCAGGAGTGAGTGGACGCCCGCGAAACAGACGGTAGAGCGCTGTCTGGGCAGGGGAAGCCACTGCAGCTGGTGGTTTGCATTATGCAGCGGTGGGGTGAGCGCACGTCGTGTGCGGTCACAGCTTGAAGTGGAGCCGCCTCTCACACCCGAGGCTGCCCAGGGAGCTATCGGGCAGACGCTGTGCATGGCGCAGCTGGTCCACCCCCATGTCTGCCGTCCCAATGAGCCACTCACCGTTTGGCCCCCACTCCGCTCCCCTCCCCATCGCACCCACCACCCCAGTCGGCAGCATGTCTTCGCCGGAGCCGCAGTGCAGCTTCTCCGCGCGCCGCGACCTGAGCCTCACCAAGGTCGCCATGGCGGTGCTCGGCGTTGCGCTCTTCACGCATGCGCACGCGCTGACAGCGTCCCAGACGTTCCGCCTCGGCGCCGGCACCCTGACCTTCATGTCGGGTGCCGCGCTGGTCGTGGCCTTCGTCCTCATGCGCAGCCTGCCGCACAAGCGCAAGCTCGCGGCCGCGGTGGCCGTCAGCGCGTCGTCGGTCGTCGCCGCGGCGCGTTGGGCCTGCGGGACGTGGGCGCCCGACGCGGTCGCGCTGCTGACCAGCCGCTGGGCCATAGTCTACTTCCTCGTCACTGGATTACTCGGCCTGGGGGTCACCTACTGGCTCGATGACGCCAGCAACGTTAAGCTCAACAACACGGTCTGCGCAGTGCTGCACCTGGCCGGGCTGCTGCTGGTGTTCTTGGGGACGACCAGCGAGCCCGCGTCGCTCGTGATCATCGGCTTGCTCGTCGCGTCGCGCGTGCTGGCGCCCGTCGCGCGCCGCGCGCCGCGGGCGTGGCGGTGGCTGCGCGCGGCGGCGGCGGGCGTGCGGGGCCTGATGAGCAGGAAGGCGCGCCCCGTTGCAGCGACGGCGGCGGCGGCAGACGGCACGGAGCACGAAGCGGATCGCGGCGCCCGCGGCGCGGCCGGCGAGGCGCGGCGGCGCGCCGCC